CTCCTCACATACCCCCATGTCCACACACCCCCACAGCCACACACCCCCCCACCCACACACCCCCCCACAGCCCACACACCCCCCCACCCCCACACCCCCCCACAGCCACACACCCCTCACACCCACAGACATCCCTACAGCCACACACCCACACAGCCACACACCCCTCACACCCCTCACACCCACACACATCCCCACAGCCACACACCCACACACCCACACACATCCTCATACCCACATACACCCCCATACCCACACAGCCACATATACCCCCATAGCCACACACACACAGCCACACACACACCCACAGCCACACAACCATATCCACACACATACACCCCCATATCCACATACAACCCCATAGCTACACACACCCCATAGCCACACATACCCATAGCCACACACATACACACCCATATCCATATGTACACACCCCCCATAGCCACACACATACACCCATAGCCACATACACCTCCAAAGCCATGCACACACCCCCATAGCCACACACACCCCCAAAGCTACACACACACACACACACCCATAGCCACACAAACTCTAGGGTAGCATCATAAGATAGGTTTTCATTTTCTTTTTAAAGCTAAGATAGGGATATCATGAGGCACCCATATCCACATACCCCCATATCCACACATACACTACACACCCATATCCACTCATAGACTCACCCCCATATCCACACACATAAACCCCCATATCCCCATACAACCCCCATAGCTACACACACCCCACAGCCACGCATACCCATAGCCACATACATACACATCCATATCCATATACACACACCCCCATAGCCACACACATACACCCATAGCCATACATCTACCCATAGCCACATACACCCCCAAAGCCACACAAACCCTAGGGTGGCATCATAAGGTAGGTTTTCATTTTCTTTTTAAAGCTAAGATAGGGATATCATGAGGCACTCATATCCACACATACATACACACCCATATCCACTCATACACTCACCCCCATATCCACACATACACACCCATATCCACACACACACAGACCCATATCCACACATACACCGCATACCCACACATGCACACACACCCACACACACCCATATCCACAGGCACATACAGACAGTGAAAATACCTTTACAACTCTTCAGCCAATGGGTTGCAAACATAGGTATCTAAAGTTAAAGGATTTCTAAAGGTTTTTAGTAATCTTTTTTATCGGTATGATTTTTAGGAAGGATTAAAAATTATAGATTTTAATATTAAGGTATTCTTAGAATGTTGGCCTAATTTCTCATACATATGGAGACTTTAGTGCTTTAAATGATTTAAATAGTGTTTTTATTATTTAGACAATAGGAGCTGGCTTTGTTTCTTATCTGTAATTGGTATTTGATAAGGCCTATTAAATATTATAGAAACCTAATTAAGTCACATAACATATTACTGTATCTTTTCATGACTGTAGAAATTGTGTTGATTTCTTTCAGTGATTTCTCTTGGTGGGACGGTCCAGATGGAAGCTTCATATTTAACTGTGTACTGGCTCTCACTCTCCTTCCCACAGCACCGCAGTGGCTTTGCTGCACAGGTGGAGGAGGGGACACCGCACAGAACTCAGGCAGTGCAGGGTACTCCTCCCGCTCTGCGGTGTTCCCCACATGTGAACCCAGGACTGTTCAGGCACTACAACATTCTTCTGTTAAACACTGTCCCAAAATACTACTAGGCAGAAGAGAAAAGTGATACATTATTTACATCAGAGCTGAAATTTACTTTTTGCACTTTAAATACAGCTTAATTTAAACCCAAGGACAAAATATGTCAATAAACATATAGAAAAGGGAGTTTTCCCTATCTTAGCTTTAAAAAGAAAATGAAAAGAAGGTACCCTTGAGAATTTTGCCACACAGAATACATATTTTTACTCGTTTTCAAAATAATGCCTGAGACTTTATAATTGTAAAATTATGTGTAAAGTAACATGAAGGCATTTGTGTGTGCAGATCTGAGGCTACAGTTACACTGTTTTTAATGTGTGAATTTAAATATTAAAAACAGCATTTTTTTTCTCTGTTAATTCTGTAGCAAGTTTATTTTGCAGAGATTCTGCTAGGACAGTTCTCAAATACTTCTACTGATTACCATCTTAAAATGTGTCTCTAGGGAAATAAATACTTCCTCCTTGGAAGCAATTTATCCCAATGACAAAGGATTTTCTGTTAAAAAATTTTTTTAATGTATGATTTTTATTTTGTAAAAGAGTTTGTTTGGTTAAATCTTTAGGGCCTCCAAAATTCTTACCCATATCATCAACACCCCAGCCAGAGCGAAGGCAGCCACCCCAGCGACGACATTCCATTGAAAAGGAAACACCTACTAACGTGAGGCAGTTCCTGCCACCATCTCGGCTGAGTTCCCGCTCACTTGTAAGTACTGGAGAGACTGCCTCGTGACCCCGAGGGTCATTGGGAGACCTAGAATTGGCTTTCTTACCAAGATGATAAAGAGGTAAAAACTTGTGAAGTTTGGATAACTTATTTAATAGCTAAAGAAAACAAACTCCAACCATAATCTAAATGAAAGTTAACCAGTCTTGTTCATTTTGAGCACTTTTTTGTTGTTGTTGAGACAGTCTCACTATGTTGCCCTTGGTAGAGTGCTATGGCATCAGAGCTCACAGCAACCTCAAACTCTTAGCCTTAAGCAATTCTCTTGCCTCAGCCTCCTGAGTAGCTGCCACAATGTCTGGCTATTTTTTGGTTGCAGTTGTCATTGTTGTTTAGAAGGCCTGGGCCAGGCTCCAACCCACCAGCTTCAGTGTATGTGGCCTGCACCTTATTCACTGAGCTACGGGTGCCAAGCCCATTTTGAGCACTTTTAAAAAAAGATGTATCAATGTAAAATCTTGAAACTATGGATTATTATGAAAGAAATTCCTTCTTCTTTCAAAGGAGATTAATCCATTGAAAAAAATTTTAAAAACTGATTTACAATAAACTATAGCAAAATATTACTATATTAACCAGCTTATTGAGGCAGAAGCACAAGGAGGAGGGGAATTTTGATTCATTAGTGACAATTGGGCATTGTTTTCCAATAATGTCTTGTAATATTGGGACCTAAACAGCTGTTGGACTGGTTAACAGGTTTACTTGCAGATTCTTGTTGTGGTTTCCCCTTTCTCAGGACAGTGGCTCAGCACACGGGCCTTTCCAGGAAGAAGTGGTAGATCGGCCAGCCAAAGAAGTCTGTGGAGATGCTTATGTAGTCCCACTTGGCTTCAGAAATATTGGTAGCAAGATGCAAGGCTTCAATCAGTATTCTACCCCACAATTAGCCAGGCATGGTGACTCGGGCCCATAATCCTAGCACCTTGGGACGCTGAGGCAGGAGGATCACTTGAACCCAGGAGTTTGAGGTTGCTTTAAGATAGGATAAGGCCATGGCACTCTAGCCTAGGCAACAGAGCAAGACTCTGTCTCAAAATATCTATATTATGGAGGTGGTGCCTGTGGCTCAAAGGAGTAGGGCACTAGCCCCATATGCCAGAGGTGGAGGGTTCAAACCCAGCCCCAGCCAAAAACTGCAAAAAAAATCTATATTATGTATATGTGTGTGTGTGTGTGTGTGTATATATATATATATATATATACACATTCCTCCCACAATTGGATATCTAATTTTTTTTTATATATTTATGAAGAAAAAATACTAGACAATGCTTAAGTTCATTTTTTTCTAGGCTTTGATGACTCACCAGGGTTTCAAATGAAGCAATGACAGATATTCCTCCCTCAAAGTAGAGGGAGTAGTGTGGTTACTGTAAATGGGGGAGGGAGGATTTAAACAATGCATAGAGTGTTGACGTTCGATCACTCACCTCTAGTCCAAAATAAGAAACTAATAATTTTATGGCCTTTCCTTAGCTCCTAAATAATCACCAGCACACTGTGATCTGTCAGGATTTACTAACAGGAAAGCAGAACTCTGACCAAGACAGGCTTAAGTTGTAAAATCCAAAAGACTTTTGTTAATGTGAATTAAGTTGTTGCTTTACCTAAATGTATGTTTATTGTCACAATTTGAAAATACATAAGAGGGAGCTTTGTGATTTTTTTTCATGACTCCTATAATTAGGATATTCTTTTCTTCATCTAGCTTTTCCCCAAGGCCAGTCTGTCATTCACTACATACATGGCCTTTGTGATCAGACAACATTATTATTGAGGTTAGACTTAAATTTAAAAATTGTCAATGTAAAACAACCATTAAATTAGCTACAGTATAGTTACAGCTAATAATAGACGTTTTTCCAAGACCTTCAGCCCACACTATGTCTTTCCTAGTGAAGCTGAACTAACTCTTGGCGTGAATGTTGTCAGGCTCTGAACTCTGTGGAGAAGGCTAGAGGGCACTTTGCATCACAAGAAAGACCCAGCTCTAGAGGTGCTCAAGTTGAAGCCCTGAACACAGTGAGTCCAGGTCAGAAGGCAGAGGGACAGGCCGAAGCAGAATGAACACCCAGTTCTAAGCAATGACTTTTCTTGCTAGTACTTTATCTTGGGAAATCTATAAAATCACAGTTATTAGTAATCCCCTCCAGTTTGGTAAGTATTGTTTTTAAAGTGTGGCAGTTAATTTAACATTATATCTGCATTTTATAAGGCAAGGAATCATTTTGTGTTTATAACAATTCAATTGAAAATGTCAAATGTTTTTGTTGTCAATAATTTTTTTATTGTGTCAGTTTCCTTTTCCTTAGGATACTTTAAATGAATTTTTTTCATCATTTGGTCAAATAATTGAGGGTGATTGCACATCAAGGTGAAAGGTGATTTAATACCTTCCCAGGAGCAGGAGCAAGCAGCTGCCTGGAGTGTGCCCCCATGCTCTGTAGCCACTGGGGCAGTTGCCTCTGCCCTGTGTCCCTGCAAGCCCTGTTTAAGAAGTCCAGAGTGTTCCCTGAACCACCAAGTTAGAAAAATACTAAACATAAGGCCTTGCCCTGTGAACTCTGAGGCGTTCCAGATGACTCCACAGTCTGACTGCTGATGGTACATATGGGTGCAGACACTGGCATGGATCCTTCTCGTCCTCACGATGTTTTCTGTTTTGTTTTTCTTTCATGATCTGTAGTCACTTGTGTTCAGCATTATTTTCTCCTTTTCTTTTCCCCTTGCTGTTTTCTTTTCCCTTATCCATTGTTCAGGTGCCTAGGATAACCAGTGTATGGCCAAGGACGCCTTTCCGACCACTTTTTTCTACCATACAAACAGCTTCTCTGCTCAGCTCTCACCCTTTGGAAGCAGCCATGTTTGGGGTAGCAGGGGCTATGTATTATCTATGTGAGAGAGCTTTTACCAGCAGGTGGAAGTCCTCAAAGGTTGGCCTCTTTCTGCTGGTTCTGGGAATCATTTTATTCTCTCTGTCTCTTTGACAATGATACTTCAACTACTGCACTCTGCAAGATTTAACAGCTTAGATGGGCACTTGCTTCTGATCATTGACTCCAATCACATGTAGGATGCATAGATTATACCGTGATCTCAGTTGAGACAGTAATAACTTCAAAAGGACAACAAACTCAAAATGCAGCATCCAGTTTAGAGAGTGCCTAATTAATACAGGAGGGAACTCCTCTCTCCACGTGCAGGAGCCCCCTCAGAGCCCATGGGTGCTTTCCTCTTGCCCTCCATCCCCATCAGAAGAGCATTTGCTCATTTGTTCTTTAGCCACAACAGGCTCCTGCCTGGCCAGGTAGCCACGGTGGGCCCCCTACCCTACCCTGCACAGATTCCTACACACCCCACCAAGAGCTTAGTGGATAAGCCTCTGTGGCTTATCCGGGAGCCTGTGTATAATCACCTGTTGTGAAGCTGTGTGTGAAGATCACAGAGTTACATCTCTGAAGAGAGAAATTCTGAGTTTCCTTTTTATTGATGTGGCTATTTAAAATATTTTAAATAATCCTGCATTTTATTACTGTGTTTTTGAGTTTTTTTAACAGAAAAATATATTTTATACTATTGTTTGAAACTTCCCATTTGAGTGAAGTATTAATAAAAAGCCCTGAGACCACATGGAAGCCTCTTCTGCTCCTGTGTGACAGGTGCTATGGAGCAGCCTTTGTGGATTCAGGCCCTTTGTTTACAAAATTTGTCCTTAACAGATGACCCCCCCCCTTTGTTATTTCTCTCACCCTTCTCAGTATAGAAAGGAGACCCACAATGTGAACGAGACACAGCAGTTCCTTTCTCTGTTCTTTGCTATGAAGTACAGAGGCAGTCTCTACCCCTTTCCTTATTTATTTATTTATTTATTTATTTTGAGACAGAGTTTCACTATGTTGCCCTTGGTAGAGTCTGTGGCGTCACGGCTCACAGCAACCTCAAACTCTTGGGCCCAAGTGATTCTCTTGCCTCAGCCTCCCATCCACATTTATTTTTTATCTGCCCTGTGGGATAGCACATGGTCATGGGCTGGGGTGGCTTATTCACTCTCATCACTCCTGCTGCCACCACTGAAGAGCTGCTGGCATTTTATTATCAGTCTCCCAGACAGACAGAAGTCCCTGTACCCTAAGTCCACAGACTGCTTCCAACATAGATACGATTTACTGTTAGTTTGAAAGTTGAATTTTAAACCTCTCCTATCCCCCAAGAGTAATTAAACTTAATGGTTGCTACTTTTATTTAAATTTGCCTTCTTTGGGGTTGTTAAAAACTCAAAAACTGGCGCCTGTGGCTCTGTGGGTAGGGCACTGGCCCCATATACCAAGGGGCCGGCCAAACTGCAACAAAAAATAGCAAGATGTTGTGGCATGTGCCTGTAGTCCCAGCTACTTGGGAAGCTGAGGCAAGAGAATTGCCTGAGCCCAAGAGCTGGAGGTTACTATGAGCTGTGACACCACAGCACTCTACTAAGGGTGACAAAGTGAAACTCTGTCTAAAAGAAAAAACCTCAAAAACCAATGTTTATTTTGGATATTCTTTAAATGTCTGTTATTTATAATATGATGTTTTTACTAATCAAGAACACTGTATAAGGGCAGTGCCTGTCGCTCAGTGAGTAGGGTGCCGGCCCTATATACCAAGGGTGGTGGGTTCAAACCCAGCCCTGGCTGAACTGCAACAAAAAAATAGCTGGGCGTTGTGGCGGATGCCTGTAGTCTCAGCTACTTGGGAGGCCGAGGAAGGAGAATCACCTAAGCCCAGGAGCTGGAGGTTGCTGTGAGCTGTGACACTACGGTACTCTACTGAGGAGTGAGACTCTTGTCTCTACACACACATAAAAAAACAGTGTATAAAAGATGACAGTACCCATTTCTCTGTGTGGCTCAATAACCAAATTTTTGTATTATCTCTATGACCTTTGTACTATTTAACTCCTACCCTTTCTAAATAGTAAAATATAACCAGCGATTTAAGTGATAGGTATAAAAGTAAGGCATGTCTATTTCTATAGCATATTGTCATCTTTATTAAAACTCCTTCAGATTTAGCTTCCCTTTCCTAAATTTGGGGGTCACAGGAAAACAAGGGCAGGTAAGGGCACCAGAGCTGTACTAGTGTGGCCTTCTCCTGGCCTGTCCCTGGTGTGGCCTTCCCCAGGCCTGTTCCCAGTGTGGCCTTCTCCTGGCCTTGTCCCTGGTGTGGACTTCCCCTGGCCTGTCCCCAAGCTCCTGATGGGCAGGGTGCTCCCTCGTGGTGGGAGCCTGAGTGCTCTTTAGTTTTACGGCATAGTAGCTCAGCAGCATCTGTTAAAGTTCAATAAGGATGTTGAATTAATATTTTTGTCAATTGAAAAAAATAATGAAAACTATTCTAGTAACTACTATTAGTTTCTTTCATGTTGCATTAAAGTTTTGTTGTCCTTGGGAAAGCTCTGGAATTAAAGCATTAGCATTTGACCAGATGGAAATTATTTTACTAAAGGGTAGTCTGTTTGAAATTTTTAAAAATAACAAGAGAAAATCTATGATTTTATCCTATGAAGTACTGGATCTGCACATAGTTCATGGCAGTAAGTTGAATGTGGGTTTGAGTAGGCCCTTTTGTGCCTTCAGACTGGAGAGAGAAAAGTACCGGCTGCCAGGTTTATCATGGGCCAGCATGTCCTCACAAATGAGATGGGATTACCTGGAATGTTTACTGGCTCAGGTATTCTAGTTATAAAGTTAATTAAATTGGGACTATTTGCTATTTTCCTGGTATATATTATAACAAATCTGGTTATTTCTAGGTCCATGCATTATTTTGTTGCAGCTTAGAGATTTTGTCATACAATTAGCCATCAGAAAGCAGACCACAGTCATACTTATTACTGATAAGTAGAAGTGATCATGGGACAACTTCTAAAACGCATTAAAATATCGCTTCTCAGCCTTTTGGCTAAGATCAAGTGTAGTGAAATGAATTAAAAGCTGACAAAAGCAGTCATCCAGATGTACATGGCTGATACTGCCTGTTTAGGCCTAACCTTCATTGTTCCCACTTGACACTACTTTCTGTTCTCATGTGGAACAAATCAGAGTAGATACTGAACATCCCAGTGTGATCCAAAGAGGGGATTGTGTGATGGGGAGTTTTTTTTTAATTTTTTAGAATTTTGGGTGTCTTAGAGCAAATGATATAATCTTTTTGAATAAGTTATTCCCCTGAGTTCTAAATACTAATAAACCCATCTTAAAAATTCAATTTCAGAATTTTTCCTAAAACATTAAGCAAAGTTAATCTTCCTTAAGATAGTTTGACAGAGATGATTTTGTACTGATTTTTAGTAGGAGGCAGTAGTTTATCTTACTCCTTTTTCTTTAGTAAATGCTAATGTTTATCAAGTTTGCAACCTAGATTTATTTTTGTTTCTCTCTGACTGAAAGACAGAACTGAATATCAAAAGTCTACCGATCAGCTGCATTCCTCCTAGTCACATGCTTTCCCACCAGGCTTGCTGGGCTCCAGAGTGCCTGTGAGGGAGTGACTTGTGATGTGTTTGTGTGAGAACATTCAGTCTCAGTGTCACTGCACCACAATGGCCCCTTGAAGCCTGGCCGGGTCCAAATGCACAAGACTGTTCTGTCTTTCTCTGAGATTCACCAATCAAGGGCTGCCAGGGTGGGGAGTGGACAGGCGGGAGGCTCCTGTTCAGTGGGATCAGTTACATCATCATCTTCAGCAGCTGTTTTTAGGGAGACCATAGACATGAAATGCCAACGTAAATATTTCTTCTGGGTTTCTCCGGGCCTTCCAGGGCTGACTATTCATTCAGCAGCTGCTGAAACCCAGTCCCAAACTGCAGACTTTGGGCAGCCTAGAGAGAGCACCTTTGAGTAAACCACTGTGCTAGCATCGTGTTAGAGTCCCCTTCACACATTGGGGTCTTTTAAGTGTGCTGATGTAACTGATCACTAAATAATGCTTGTCAGTATAAATTACTAACCTCCTTCTTTGGCTAGTCTGGGTACCACAAACCAGTTTTAAAAACAGGACCAACCAGCCTGAGCAAGAGTGAGACCCTGTCTCTACCAAAATTAGAAACACTTATCCAGGCCTGGTACATACCCACGGCGCCAACTGAGGCTGGCAGGAGGATCGCTGGAGCCCAAGAGTTTGAAGTTGCTGTGAGCTATGATGATGCCACAGCACCCTCCCCAGGGCACACAGTTAAACATGTCTAAGTAAAACCAGGACAGTGGTATAGATTTGCTACTTGTCTGTTAGTATATAAGTATAGCACAGCACTAAGTATGTCTTTGCATAATCATAGAAGAAAACTGTCATAAAATTGATTTAGAACAACAAAATGTTTTGAAGGTTTTAAGCCCAGACACATAGCTCTACTAATGAAACAGAGTTACTGGTGTTGAAATATCTGAACAAATGTGAGGAACTTTCATTTTTCGGAAATTTTGATAGGCGGGTACCATGTTTCACAGGGTCCCCAGATGTTTTCTGCCTCTGTGGTCTCTAATTAGAAATGATGTGGTCCCCAGAGGGAGCCAGCTCTGTCTCAGTGGTCCCTGGGTCACCTCTCCTCTGAAGCTACTAACCAGGTGTCTGATCTGAAGGGAAGTTTGGCATTTCCAAAACAGGGTGGGAACCTCTCATTCCTGTGGCATTTTGAATTTCAGGAGGAATTCTGCTACCCAGTGGAGTGCCTTGCTCTTACTGTGGAAGAAGTGATGCATATTCGTCAGGTCCTAGTGAAGGCAGAACTGGAAAAATACCAACAGTATAAAGATGTCTACACCGCCCTGAAAAAAGGAAAGGTAGAGCTGTTTAACACTGATCAGAAGGGTAGAAGAAAGGCCAGTCCCACATATGGCCTCCTGGCAGAGTTGTCTGCTGGCCAAATGACACAGGACATTTTTAGGGGATTTAGGAGGAGGTATTCACACTCCAGTGGATAGTCCCTGTTCTGCATAGCGCACAAGTAGGGAGTATTTTTGTTTCTCACTTAGATACCAAAATCTATGGAAAATTTTAAAACAACCATAATAAATAATGGTATGCAAACCAACTCTGCATTTAGCCTGTATATTTTTCAAGGATCTGTAAAGAAAATATCTGAGAAAAAGAAGAGTTTTTCAGAACCTTCTTCAGATTGCCTCCATGATGGTGAGACATTTGATAACTGTGGCCTTTTATTACTTTTAAAAATAGAATTATAATTAAATACAAACCCAGATTATCAGTATCAAAGAGCCAACCGTTATAAACAGAATTTCTGAGTTCTCTTCCTCCTTCTGTCCACCTAACTTCCCCAGTGTGTGAATGTAGAGTGTATTCAAACATGGACACTAGGAAAGGAGCCGCTAGCCACGGCGCTTTACTCCTTTTAAATTTGTATTTTTTAGCTCTGCTTTTGTTGCCGAACCAGGAGGTTTTCCTTCTTCACCTGGTCCTACACGTGTCAGTTCTGTAAGAGGTAAGTGTATTGTAACTTAGGAGGAGGCAGATCCAGCAGGTGTGACAGGGGCTTTTGCCTTCCTTGCCTCATCAGTTCTCTACACAGGCATAAAGTAGAAATGGCCCGTTCTGTTACAGTTCCTCACGCCACCCTTGACTGTTAGGAAAATGGATTTCTGAACAAGGATAGGCCAAACACCTATTTGGTGTTGAACTGGAAAATATTTCTCTGCAAGTTTTTTTCTTTTATGTAGCCAAGATAATTCTAATAATATGTTATGTTTGAACAGAAAAAAATAGTATGGTTACTATGTGATCCCTACATAGACAAGTAAGAAAATTATAAGCAGATACAGATTGATCCTTTCACAGGAGATGATGTAAGAAATTTACAGATGGTCTTTCAGGCCATCCTCAGTGTATCAGTTTGTTAGGTTCTGACAGAAAAACCAGCAAGGTTTTGCAGTTTAGAAACTGCCAACTGTGCAGGCTTCCATTTTTCTAAGCCCCCGATTGCATTTATCATGTCATGCCAAGTAACACTTCTGATTTTGTGTGCAGGCCGGTGTGCTCACAGTGTTGCAAAAAGGTAAGCCAAGCCTGATTAGGTCATGATGTGTGATTGTTCTATGCCTCTACCCTGTTAAGGGTGCTGCTCACTCTCAGTTCTGTTTGGGATGACAGATGCGGCTGCCCTCCAAGCCATATTCCACCCTTCCCATCTTCTCCCTGGGACCTGCTGCCTTGCAGAGAGGGGAAAGTTGTATGAGGCCAGAAAGACCCTCCACTGGCCACCATCGGCCACTTCGGAGCATTGCCAGGTGAGCACAGGGCCTGGGTCTTCAAAGCATAATAGTAAAAAGAGAATACTCTTCTTTTTGACAATTGGTAAGGTGTCAGGGTTTAGGCTCAAAGGGTTTTGGTTGGTCGGTTTGTTTTGTTTTGCTTTGTTGGTTTGTTTTTATTTTATTTATTTATTTATTTATTTTGAGACAGAGCCTCAAGCTGTCCCCCTGGGCAGAGTGCCGTGGCATTACAGCTCACAGCAACCTCCAACTCCTGGGCTCAAGCAAGTCTCCTGCCTCCGCCTCCCAGGTAGCTGGGACCACAGGCGCCCGCCACAACGCCCGGCTATTTTTTGGTTGCAGCCATCATTGTTGTTTTGGCGGGTCCGGGCTGGGGATTCAAACCCGCCACCCTAGGGGGACGGGGCTGGCGCCTTAGCCGGTTGAGCTATAGGCGCCGAGCCGTTGGTTTGTTTTTAAAGACAAGATCTCACCCTGTCATCCTGGCTGCAGTGCAGTAGCAGGATCATAGCTTACTGCAGCCATGAATTTCTGGGCTCAGGCCACCCTCCTGCCTCCAGTAGCTGGGACTACGGGCACATACCACCACACCCAGTTAATTTTTTAATTATTTTGTAGACATAGGTTCTTGCTGTGATTTTAGGCTAGTTTTAAAGTCTTAGGCTCAACTGAGCTACCACACCCGGGCTGGCTGGTTTTAATATACACCCAGGACCCTCATAGCTGAACACCTCCCTATATTGACTGTCTCCTTGAGTTGACCTGATTTTCATAGACCGGACATGTACCACATGTATGTTATCAGTACAGTAGGCCTAGTTCCTTATGTTGACAGCCTCCGTGTGTGGACCAGTCTATTATAATCCCTTGGATGGTCATCTTACAAAGGTTCTACTGTAGTTTTAGATTTGCATACAGACCCCTAAAACTCCCCCAGAGGTGACTTTTCAAGGGATAATAGCTGGCTACTGGGAGGATGCTTTGATCACATAGTTTTTCTGCTTTCAAAATAACTACTTTCTTCTGTCCTTTATGAGTCATCTTTATAACTGGCCTTGTTTTCAGTGGAGTTGAAAACTTGCTCATGATAGTCTAAATCCTTTCCTTTTCTAGTTTTGAAAGAAAATCTGTTTAATCCTGTGTTTACAGGGTCTGCAGTAGTTTTGGCTTGTTTACTATTATAAAGATGGAATAAAGCCTTATGCCAAGAGCTGGCAATTGAAAAGAAAAGAAATGCCTTTCCATCTCTTTGCATTTAACATGGGCTGAGGTTAGTGTTGGTCCTTAAGAAAGATGGAAAGAGATAGAGTGACTCAAATCCCACACTGGTGGGGTGGAGAGGCTGGGGTTTGGCACACCAACCACATGTCACTCTCCAGACCAGCGGTTCTCAACCTGTGGGTCGTGACCCTTTCACAGGGGTTGCCTAAGACCCCTTTCACAGGGGTTGCCTAAGACCATCAGAAAATACATATTTTTGCACACATGAAGTAGCAACGAAAATAATTTTATGGTTGGGGTTACCACAACATGAGGAACTGTATTAAAGGGTTGCAGCATTAGGAAGGTTGAGAATCACTGCTCTAGATCGTCAGCAGAGGAAGCTATGAGCCTCGCATGAAACTTGTGCCTGAACTGCCTGCCCCTGTGGCTGGACTCTATGTGCGCTGAGACACCATTGCTGTCCAGCAGCCTCTGAGTAAGGATTCTCAGTAGGCTGCTCCTCCTACATGCTCAGAACTCACCACGTGCTCAGGGTTTCACATTTTTTGGTTTAATTAGAATAAACAGTAAATAAGTAGGTAGTTCCAAGTTTTCTCCAACATTCCTGAAAATATTTATTATGGTGTTGGTCTAGTTAACTCCAGCTTTTTGGAATCCAAATAAACAAGCACCCACATAAAGAGAATTGTTGAATAGGGTGAGCCATGTTTGATAAATACACAAATTTTTTCACCCAGGTTCTCAAACTGGGAACTCCATTTTCCCAAAGAGCTAATGGAGGACTGGAGCACTATGGAGATGTACGTGGACTGCAAAAAGTTCATTTTGGAAAACTGATTAAAAGATAATTTTTCTGGATATATCATAGGATTAAAATAATTTTTTTTTTTGAGACAGAGCCTCAAGCTATCCCCCTGGGTAGAGTGCCATGGCATCACAGTTCACAGCAACCTCCAATTCCTGGACTCCAGCGAGTCTCCTGCCTCAGCCTCCCAAGTAGTTGGGCCCACAGGTGCCCGCTGCAACACCCAGCTATTTTTTGGTTGCAGCCGTCATTGTTTTGGCGGGCCCAGGCTGGATTCGAACCCACCACCTTAGGTGTATGTGGCTGGCCCCTTAGCCACTTGAGCCACAGGCGCCTGCCACAACGCCCAGCTACTTTTTTTTGGTTGCCGCCGTCGTTGTTTTGGTGGGCCCAGGCTGGATTCGAACCCGCACCTTAGGTGTATGTGACTGGCACCCTAGCCACTTGAGCTACAGGCGCCAAGTCTAAAATAAATTTACTTCAGTTTCCTGAAGTCTGGCCTACCAGCCACAGTTAACTAGTGTTCGCTGTTCAGAAGGTCACCACATCCCTGGAAAAAGAACTTTAAGTCCTGAGTTATCAGGAGGACATTTGCACCATATACTTTGTCTCACTTTTTGTTATTAGCATTCACCATGCATGTAGATGTAGCAATCAGGTGAATAGCCTATTTTCCAGAAATTCTAGAATGGTAGGTAGAGTTTTTAGTTTTATATCTTAATAAAACACATTTCCAGGTTTCTTTTCTTAAAAAAAAA